ATATCTATTATGTGCTGTGAATTGGTGTCCATTTGAACTTCTTTACAATACTGATAAATACTACCAATATTATTTTACAGAAGAAACTGAAGATGAGAGTCAAGTAACTTGTCTAAAAGTAACATGGTGTTTCTGGAGGATGTCTTTCTATATGCTGTGAATATGTGTTGCTCCCATTGGTTAATAAATAAAGCTGCATTGGCCTATGGCAGGGCAGGATGGAGCCAGGTGGGAAAATCCAAGGGAGTTACTAAAAGGAGAAAGGTGAGAAACTGCTGTCCAAGGAACAACATGCAATGGGATGCAGGTAAAACCACGGAACACATGGATACACAGATTATTAGTTATGGGTTGAGTCAAGTTATAAGAGCTAGTTAGCAAGAAGCCTGAGCCATAGGCTGATGCAGCTTTATTAGCCAATGGGAGCAACACACATTCACAGCATACAGAAAGACAACCCACAGCATGGTATTTTTGACAAAAGGAAAAACCCTGAGGTGCTCAGATGTTGCTTCTAGGAACTTACAAGAACAGTATAGGTATTCCACTTGCAATACTCAAAAAACTTCATTTGTAAGTCTGGTGAATTAGTAATTCTAAGTTTTTTTTTTTTTTTTGGTTTTTCGAGACAGGGTTTCTCTGTGTAGCTTTGCGCCTTTCCTGGAACTCACTTGGTAGCCCAGGCTGGCCTCGAACTCACGGAGATCCGCCTGGCTCTGCCTCCCGAGTGCTGGGATTAAAGGCGTGCGCCACCACCGCCCGGCAATTCTAAGTTTTAAATGACAAGCTATTTCAGGTATTATTTCTCCCTCTTTGCATAGTTCAATTGTGACTGGCAGCAATCATAGGAAAGGTAATTTTCTTTTGACCTTCGAAGTGCACTGAAGGGCTTTTATCCAGATCTATTTTCTATGTGGAAGTTAGAGTTAATGGGGGACAGAGTTAGGGAAATATTATGTACTAACAAAGCAGAGACAGTTAAGGCAGATACAGCAAATGCGTGACTAGTCATTAAGACAGGTGTTGGGAAAACTGTATGCAGCCTTAACAGTCAAAAGTCTCCACAATGTTCACAAAGCTTGGGGCAGAAACTCATTTTTTTCTAGTCTATAAAAGCTAACCATAAAAGTTACATTGCTTTTGAGCTTCAAATCCATTCACAGAAAATGAGTCTTAGGTAATCTGTCTAGTTGTTACTAAGTAATAAAACTGTATTCATTGAGATATAAGATTCAGAGTATTTGGTAATTTGGACTAGCCTTTCCTCCTGGCCTTCCTGAAAAGGATCCTGCCTCTGATGTTCCTGTGATGTTTTCCAGTATCATGCAAGAAATGACATTCCTCAAGAGAATTCCTCTTCAGGAGAAACAAACTTTTCTTCAGCAATAGGATTATTATTCCTTTGCTTTTTCTTTGAGTTACATTTAAGTTACATTATAAAAAAGCCTCTACTTTCTTAGCTATCTGGGAAGAATGTGAAAGCTATACATCAAAACTTTAGGCTACAGGAACCTTATAAGACAGGACAAGATTTTACTTTGTTATAACTTACTATCCTGATTAGTATTAGCAAAAATCAGAAAGTGAACACATTATTCAAGGAGTCTTAACACTTGCTCCTGCAAGTTCCATATTTGTTCACATTTTCCAAGTTATGAGAAAAAGTGAAATGGCCACTACCAAAATATTTTGTGTGTCCTGAAGCTGAGCAACTTCACATGCCTTAAAATTCAGTTATCTCAGAAAGCCACTCCCACCCCAGCTCACAACCTACTCACTCAAATTGATGGTACTCAGTACCGTTTGAACAGTTTTGATTTGCTAATTGAAAACCATTTGTACTTAAGAGACTCCCAAGGGTCATCTAACACAAACACCCTCATGGGACATTTCCATTCCATTGAAAACTAATTTAGACTACTTCAGAGTAAAAACATATCAATAAAACCTATATATTTGTTATAAATTAAAAAAAAAAAAGGCTGTCAAAAAAAGTACTAAGTCAGGCCAGATGTTGTGGTTAATGCCTGTAATTGAGCCATTCAGGAGGTTGAGGCCAGAGGATTCTGAGTTAGTGCTGGTCTGAGATACGCAATGAGTTCAGAATCAGCCTGGGATACAGAATGAGACACGGTGTCTTGAGAACCCAAAAGCATGTCAAGAATTTCATCAGCAGCACTTAAACAAGCCATACCTAGCCTGTAAGAGACAAATAAACACTGATCAGCTAAGTATATAACACACCACTGCTTTGCCACACACTGGCTTGAATCTCTGGCAACACTTTATTAAAAATGACTGGCCCCAAAAGGCTATGGAGACCAACTCTCCATCCTTTCTGCTAAAATGCCACACCTGGCTCTACTTCTGTGTGTACATTTTATGAGAAAGTCAACTCCACGTTATAAAGCACCATAGGTATTTCATTCTACATAATGCAATAAATCTGAACATTTTATAATAGAATTCCTTGGAAGGCACTTCAGTTTTAAAAAGGAGGCACATTTATAAACTGCAGGCTCCTTACTACTGTTTTTATCACTTAAAATCTTGACATTTCACAATGACAAATTGTTCACAAATAAAGAATGGCAAGGGACATTGCTCCCACCCCAACAAATGAATTTGGGCAGAGTAAACAGATGAGAAATACATAAAGCAAGAGTAAAGATGATGTAACTAGAGAGATGGTTTTAAGAAAAAAAATCGGTGAATTTAAAGTTAATTTCCAGATTAAAAACACTTTAAAGAAACATATATGCTCTTATATGCTTTGTTGCTTCCTAAACTCATCAATAAGATTGGAGTAGTATTTTATTTAAACAATAAAGATGATAGAGAGCATTTGTCCAGGTTATATCCTGGAAACTTGTAAGAATTCACTTAAATAGATTTGGAACTTAAACAAGAAAATAGGATAATATTCTCCAAGTTTAGAAGTTTTACCTTGGAGAGGAAACAATAAAATTACAAATTCAAGGGCTGGAGAGATGGCTCAGTGTTAAGAGCAGAGGCTGCTTTTACAGAGGACCCAGATTCTGTTCCTAGCACCTACATAGCTCTGCTCACAATCATTTTCAACTCCAGTTCCAGGGGATCTGATGTCCTCTTCTGAACTCCATGGACACCAGGCACATGTGGTACAGACATACATGCAGGCAAAACACTCATCACATAAAATGAAATAATCTAAATTTTTTTTTTAAATTTAGGTCTAGACTGGGTAAATATATAGCTCAGTGATAGAGCACTTGCCTAGTATATATGTATGACTCCTCTAGTTCAATGCTAAGTAACCATGCCCCCACTGATAAAAAGTGTAAAACTATAAAAGTTTTCTTATGAATTTTGTTTGAAAATATCATTTGTGATGTTAAATAACACTGTTGGCATGCTGTTTTTATTAATTCAACCAGTCTCATACCTAAGATGAATAATCCAGGAAAATGACCCATATCCGAAAGACTTTAGAACATGTTATTTCTCACTGCTCTGTCAAGTGTTTTATACAGACATGCAAAATAATCCTAATAAGGCAAGTAGAACACTAGCAATTGTGGTCTCCTTGCTTGTCAACCAAAAGGCAAATAAAGTCTTCAGAATGATATTCTCCTTTAAGAAATCAATACTAAGAATCACCCATTAAACAAATTCACCTTAAAAAAAATTCCAGGCTGGAGAGATGGCTCCTCTTCCAGAGGTCCTGAGTTCAATTCCCAGCAACCACATGGTGGCTCACAACCATCTATGAGATCTGCTGCCCTCTTCTTGCCTGCAGGCACACATGCAGGCAGAAGGTAGAACACTGTATACATAATAAATAAATAAATCTTAAAAAAAAAAAATCCAAAAAAACCTTTACTATAAATCCCAATTGAAATTGTCTTATGTAGAGGGGACGGTGTATCTACTTCTTTCTGCTCATACAATGGAACCAGAAGTACTACTTCAAGTTTCACACAGCTAGGACAATGGGCAATCTGAAAAGCAATGGACAGACAGGCCTGGTGCTAATCTAAAATGTGCCTTCCACATAAATTATACAAGGTTGCCCCAACCTTTTTGCTAGTAGTCTAAGACTGTGATAAATAGCAAATATGTGACTGTAAATGTAAACTGCTTCATTGGGGATAGGGGCATAGCTCAGGGCACAGGCTCACATTGGCAAGGTCCCGGGTTTAACCCTCACACAAGGGAACAAAGTAAATGGCTTCATGCGGTGTACAGTTACACCAAATCACTCACGCTTCCTTACTGTTTATCTTCTTCTCCAGTGTGTATCATAACCAAGTCTACAACATTGAAGCTCAAGTAATCTGAAGGCAGCCAAAGCGCTCTCAGCAAAACCCCAAACATCTTCATGACTAAAAACATGCTAATTACTTAACAATCATGAGAAAGAATACAACTTCAATATTGGTCCTAAAACTTCCCGTCAGGATGTCTGTTCTTGCTCTTGCAAGTAAGAGCTTTGTAACTTAACAGAAATAGAGAAAACTTACAATTCACATTAAGAATGCTGATTGAAAACACTTAATGGTTAGAAAATAAGACAACTTGGACATAATCTTTCCAACCCTACACTCTTTAGATAAGGTTTGTACATAAAACAGCTTTTATAGAAACCCACACTATTAGCTGCTATCAGAAAACAGTATCCCACAAGTTCAAGTTACACCATTGACAGGCTACACTTCCAAATATTTAGATTGCTTAAAGCCTTTAAAGTTCTACAAACTCATGGTGACTTTAGAGCTTCAAAAGTTAAAGAAATAAAATTTACCAAAATAAATACCACTGACACCCAATGGACATCTTCACTTTAAGGCCTTTGTCACAAATCTGAATCTTTATTGTTCTGAAATAAATGTTAAAAACATAACTTGAAACAAAAATGTCAATATTCAGTCTCAGAAGATGTGTGGCTCAGTGCCCATCACATGTAACAAGAAAACTTCCTTTAAAAAAAAGGAAAAAGTACTATGAGAAGTCCTTCGTGAGTGAAAATGCACCCTTGTATATCCTCCCCTTCTGCATCTTCTTCACAACAGTTCTTGCTATGATGTTTGGCGGATTTTTTGCCACTCAACAAATTCATCAAGAAGAACAGGCCCTAGAAAGAAGAAGTAAGTTTTGTTATAATTCAGTGAACTCATCCCTCTAAAAGGCTCTGAGGTGGCAAGGGCCCACCTGACCTGTCCTTCATCTACTGCTTTCTGTTTGTGTTTTTTTCCCCCAGGGTTATTTCCTTCTCAAGGAGTGTTCCTGAACTCCCTATAACTGAGAAAAAAACTAACCTTTTCCCATAGCACTGGCATTTAAACAAACACTCAGAAAACATATTTCTGTTATATCAAGAAGTATGAGCACTTGTTAAGGGGGAGTGGCCACATAAGACTGACTTTACTCTAAAATAAAACAGAGTAAAAAGAACAGCATAAAGCAAATGCCTACTACCTATCTGACCACTATTCTAAAAAATAAGTTTTATAATGTAGAGGTTCCAAATGTTTACCAACAGAAGCCAAGTGGGCAATTTAAATGAGATTTCAGTATTTGTGATGTATGGAATTCAGTATTTCAAAATGTATGGAAAGTATGACCACGAAGAGATATGCTTGTCTTGTTTTTCTCAAAACATAAAACCTCTGGGTGTTCTTTTCTCTCTTGCTTTTAGCAGACCATACAAAAACAGCCGGGCAGGCAAAGCAGTAAATGGCAATGTTGGAATACTGCGTGGACTGCCAAACTGGAGAGCAAGTTCAACACAAGCCACTACTTGGTTCCAACCTCTGAAACCTACAAAGGAATACAGGTGCAATGTGTCAGATTTTCTGATAGCTGAAATAAATTTACAAGTTTATTTTTATAACAAACCTCTCAGTTTTAAATGTTGGCTCAACATACACAGATATACACATCTGCAGGCTCTATGTAACTCTTGGGCTGTTAGCCTACTGCAGAAAATTATTTCTTCAAACAAGAATTAAACTCTATGCGATCCTGTAGGGAAAGAATACTACATTCGGGAGGCAGGCTGTCTCTTTGGTACTTTGTTTCTTTTGTGTCACAGTGTTTTATTGCCATTTTTGTTATAAAGCAAAGCACCATTCCATGGACACTGAGACACTATAGTACTCCAAATGATGGTAGAGACTTAAAGTTTAAGAGTTCTACAGAATTAACTTGGCTTATTTGTTGTGCCTTTGTCCTTTTAAATGCATGAGTGAAATTTTTCTTCCACTGAAAAGGCAAGTACAAAGTAGGATTTTAGCTTCTAGGTTGAGAAATGATCATTTAGCTGTAATGTCTAGTCACTGAAGAATCAGTGTTTTTATTCACTAGCATTGATTTTACAACATTGCTGAATCTAGACTGTGCCTCCCCCAAATCCTGATTAAATAACTAGTTATTGTTACACTAGTTCAAACTTTCGGTTAAAGTCTCAGAATGCATTAACTCGATTAACATTTTTAGGAATTTTATTTTCATAGGAATGCATGATATACTTACAAGCACCATCTTCATCGTAGTTACTAAGATCGGCATGAACTGTTCTGCTGAATTCTAATACATTGTACCACTGATCTTTGTTCATAACACGATACTTTGATTGCTGTGGAAAATGATATAAAAATTTGGACTACAGAACCAACATTCTTATTGGGGCTTGATTTTAGTGACTCTATCCATTTATTTGGCCTTTTCTAAAATATTTCTTCCTTTCTTAATTACTTGCTATTCTAGTAATTAGCTATCATGTAGCAGTAAGACTGACACTGAGATTTACGTATGTGTACACACATGTGGCTCTCAGCTAGAACCTACCCTACACATAGTTGGTCTGTGTGGTTTCCACTATATAGAACTTGTGTGCATAAGCTACATTTTGAAGAAGCCATCTACAGTAGTAGTGGGAACAATATGAGCTTGGATCTAAATTGCAATGTGGACACTCAGTTAAGTGCTTTTGGGAAAGCTACTTCTGTGGCAGAGAGCTTGGTGGGCAGGTGCTCAGAGTTCCATCTCCAGCAGTACAACTAGGTATGGTGACACACACCTGTGATTCCCACTTGGGCAGCAGAGGCAGGACGACCTTGAGTTCAAGGATGGCCTGGGCTATCTAGCAAGACTCTGTCAATGTCCCTTCAAAACACAAACCATCTCCCTTCCAACCAGCACCACCACCACCACCACCACCACCAAAAATAAAAACCCAATAGTAAGCTAACCCCATTACCCATTTCCTCAGCTGCTAAATGATAAAGCTTGCTTGAACATATCTCGTTCTTTTCAGAGCCCCACAGAAATTAATATTTTTGTATTTAGCTGAATGTATTTTTGATCAACTAAGAGGAGGAAGATATGTATCATTAATCAAAAATAACAACTTCACTGGGTCAAAAAATTTATCAATGTACAAAACTCATTTACCCAGGCTTTAAATAAAATTGCTCTGGAAAAGTTACCGTGACAAGTAAACAGCATGATGTTACTTCCAATAGAAAAGGCAGCTCTATTTAAGAAATGGTTAGAAATACGTCCCCAAAGGTTTAAAAATAAACAAAATCAGACAGAGCAATTAGGGAAAAGCAAGTGTCTTAGAGCTAGCTGGAGCTCGCAGGTGCAGTACGACTCTTAAGAGGATATTTATCCTGTGGTCAGCACATGCTGTACAGTCAGCAGTGTAGTGCATGACTGTTACAGCCGTGCTCATATCTGTGGACGCAAAGTATCAACACTTCATTTCTTTTTTTTTTTTTTTTGGTTTTTCGAGACAGGGTTTCTCTGTGTAGCTTTGCGCCTTTCCTGGAACTCACTTGGTAGACCAGGCTGGCCTCGAACTCACAGAGATCCGCCTGGCTCTGCCTCCCGAGTGCTGGGATTAAAGGCGTGCGCCACCACCGCCCGGCAACACTTCATTTCTTAATATTGAGTCCAGTTAGAAAAGAAAAGCTTCATTAGTAAAGTAAGTTCTATGTTTCTACCTAAGACTAGGGGATGGGGAAACTAGGGGATGGGGAGTAGGAATAGGGTAGAAATTGGTTTAGAGGCTTGAGATTTATATACTAGCATCAATTTTCTCTCACCAAAACCTCAAGAAATTAAGTTTATAAGAAACGCCTATGCTAAAATATTTTTTCCTGAGGCTCCTCCTAGGTAGAATGAAAATCACTTAAAATTGTTTTAATGTGGTATAAGGGATGGAATCCAAAGTATGACAAATGCAAAGCATGTATTCTATCACCAAGTTACACTCCAGTTCCCAAGTATCTTATGCACAGAATATACAAACAACACAAACTTATGTCTAAAGTTGACAATAAGTATACATATTTTAGCAGATTTCTTTAATTACTTATGTAGAATTTTTAAAGTACCGAATTTGTCCTTTAAAAATGTATTTTCAAACACTTAAAAATACCCATACATACCTCCAGGTACTGGTAAAATACTGAAAAGAGTGGCCACGTTCTCCCAAGCAGCAGTGCTAACATAGACTTAGCAGTATCAATATCAAGGCTTCTCTGATCTTTATCCTACAATATTAGTGAAAAAATGTAAGTATGCCCATAAAATGAAAACACTTAGGATATTAAGGGGAAGCTGTACCTACCCTTGCAAAATCAAAGGCGTATCTGTAGATATTCTTAAACGATGAGATGTCATTCAGCTGTGAGCGCAGAAAATCAAATCTGCTCTGTAACTTTTCTGTGCAGTCACACCTTAAAGACAGAGGTCAGAAGGAAAGCATTCTAAGACTGAGTACATACAGGACCATTCTTTAGGTCTGGCATTTTCAGTTGGACAATTTAAACTAACAGACATATTTTAAACTACCAATGCAGAGATTAATAAAGCAGAGAAAATCTGACAATCAGAGGACATTGCAATAACTCCTTCAAGAAAAATAAACATCTCAATCAAAACTTCCAAGCAGATCACAAATATGTCTTGGTGTGAGGGGCAGAATGCCTGCCTAGTGGGCTCCAGACCCCATTTTCCATCCAGGTACTGCCTCTTCTCCAAGGGCTGAGCAAATGATAATCAGGTCTTTGCCACATTTCTTTAGAAAGTTGTTAGACATTGGCTTGTTCAAAAAAGATCAGTTACAAGTAGTCTTAAAAGTTTAGAATACCAGAGAGGAAATTAATATATTAAGTGACCTAATCACAAATCCAAATTCCCATAGTTTTGGTCAACAAAGTTGAGTCCAATTATCAAAGCACCCAACTGAAGGTGAAAATGCAGAGCTACAAACAAGTTGCCTCTATTATTTCTAAAGATGAAGACAGTAAGCAGAAATACCTCAATCAATGGAATACTCAAAAGTCGTGCTGGTTTTCTAATGCTGTTAAGCTCCACTACCAGGTTTTCTGGTCACTTCCCAGCACTCCAGGTGTTTTCATTTACCATTCTCAAAGTCACAGCTATGCTTCAGCATACTTATTTCCTCTATTGGAAAGGATGAACTCAAACTTGCCATCTATGTGAGACCACCTGACTTCCCTTGATTAAACAGGGTATATCATCTACTGTAACCACAGTATTCCATTCAAACTGAATTTCAGAATTCACGATTAACCAAGATTTTTCATTATCTTAAGTCAGCAGTGTGAGGGTCTATGTGATATGGGTCACATTGTTAAATTAAATCTTTAATATCTATAAAAAGCCATCTTTGTTACCTGTTTGACACACTGATAAAACATTTTAAAAAACACTCCTTGCTAGCTTTGATAGCAATCTTATAGCATCAGAAAACAAATTGAGGATTATTTAAGAACTATTTTGTGAATACTTATTAAATACTGCAACTAGCATTTGTCCAAACTAGATAAAAGATAGACTTGTAACTACTTAACATTCAAATTTTGGCCATTCAAATTTTGTTTCTTTGTAACCTATTTTTACTATTTTAAATTTTTCTGATAATTCTATTACTTGCATAAAATCTGATTCAAGAGGACATTATAAGGATGGGAGATGAGAATATGCGTTATATACATGTATGACAATGTCAAAGAACAATTTTAAGTAATAAAAAATCTGATGTTGATTAAAATTATATTTTTAACCTATACTAGTATCTTTTTTTTTTAACTTTTAGTTGTTTTCTTGCCCAATATTGCCAGAATTTAAGTCATTTTGTATATCATTTGAGACTGCTGATTTCCTTTTTTGTGCAATTTCCTTCTATATGTGCTGTGGGATGCTCTGTATGGCAAATGTGTTGCTGATTAGTCAATAAATAAAACACTGATTGGCCATTGGCTAGGCAGGAAGTGTAGGCGGGACAAGGAGGAGAATAAAGCTGGGAAGTGGAAGGCTGAGTCAGAGAGACACTGCCAGCTGCCACGATGACAAACAGCATGTGAAGATGCCGGTAAGCCACGAGTCATGTGGCAAGGTATAGATCAATGGAAATGGATTAATTTAAGCTGTAAGAACAGTTAGCAAGAAGCCTGCCACAGCCATACAGTTTGTAAGCAATATAAGTCTCTGTGTTTGCTTGGTTGGGTCTGAGTGGCTGTGGGACTGGCGGGTGACAGAGATTTGTGTGGGCCAGGCAGGAAAACTCAAGCTACATATATGACCACAAATTTTGTTAAGAATTTATTGCTTCTATTACACAATTCTGAGTGATAACTTTTGCAAGATGTGTTTCAGGAGTGGTAGGGATAAACTTCCTAAAACAGGTTTAAGAGAGAGTAAGAAAAGAAGACCTGGAGAAAATGAAACAAAGTCTTTCAATGGGTTTGGGCCTGAGTGGCTACAGGAGGGGCAGTAACCCAAACGGGACGAGAGAATAGTGGGTTCTGAAACTTTTTTACAGAAAATGTACTACCAATTTCATCAACATTGAGGAGTGTGTTTCTCTTTCTCTCTGCTGCTAAGTATAACTAACACACATGGATCATACAAAATGCAAGACGATTCTGAATGAAGGCAGGTGTGGTGGCACACACATACGTAATCCAATATCCGAGAAGCTGAGGCAGGAGGATTCTATGTTCAAGGCCAGTCTAGGCTTATTGTAGCAAGATCTTAAATTCTGAAAGAGAAAGCCTTGAAAGAATGACATATGATGGTAAGTCCAGTCAGTTTCTTTTTGCCTCAGATATCCTTGACGCTGCAGATAACAGCAAGTTGAATGTGGTGGCAAATGCCTATTAATCCCAGCTGTGGGGAGGCAGAGGCAAAAACAGAACCACTGGGGCTAGGGAAGACAGATGATGGTTCAGTGAATACAGTGCTTGTCACATAAGCTTGAGGACCAAAGTGCCAGATATTGAGCTCCGTTTTCAACTGAGGGATCCTGCCTTAAAATGGCGAGTAACTGAAGATGACACATAGGCCTTCACACAGACAAGCACACACATGTATGTGCACACACACACACACACACACACACACACACACACATACAGAAAGAGACAGGAGAAAAGGAAAAGAAAACCAAATACTACTGGTCTAAAAAAGACAACAATGACTCCTAATGACATTCTGCTATACTCATAGATCAGTGCCTTATTCAGCCATTATCAGAGAAGATTCCTCTCCGGCAGATGGGAACAAACAGAGACCCATAACCAGACATTATGACACAGAGGGAGAGACCCTGAAACACACAGCTCTAAATTGGATGTCTCCATCAGATCCCACCCCTTGGAGCTCAAGGAACACTGCAGAAGAGGCGGCAGAAAGAGGATATAAGAGCCAGAAGGGATGGAGGACACCAGGAGAACAAGGCCCTCTAAAACAACTGAGCAAAGCTCATATGAACTCCCAGAGACTGAAGACAGAAGGCTCTAACTGTGAACACTATTTCAGTATCACCAAATACAGTGGTCCAACTCCTGGCAATGGCAGTGGAGACTGAACTAATGTACTAGCGTGTCCACAGTTCTCACTCTAGGGAGCAATAAGCAGCAAAGTTTCTTCTGCTCAGGGGTGCTGTCAAGTTTCCTTGATGATGAGTTAAGGTCTTCACCATCACTCAGTAGTAACAAGGACACAACCCCAATAGCGTCAGTGACAATGTGAGGAACAGTAACAAGGCACTCCTACCAGTTCTTGACAATGTGTCAGGATGCTAGCAAGGCACTCCTACCAGTTCTTGACAATGTGTCAGGATGCTAGGCTGGGCCTAAACTCTTACTCCTGCTCAGGAATAACAAAACACATTCCCCTACTGAGTGTAGAATGGCAGCTTTAATTTCTCCCTACACCTGCCAGTACATAGCAGATCCTCTCCTGCTGGAGTTTTGGTACAGTGAGATAGTCGATTAGTTTGAACTATTTAGGAGGCCCCCAGGCAGTAGGACCAGGACCTGTCTCTAGTGCATGAGCTGGCTTTTTGGAACCTAGGGCTTATGCTGAGACACTTTGTTCAGTCTAGGTGAAGGGAGGAGGGGACTGGACCTGCCTCAACTGAATCTACTGGGCTGAGCTGAATCCCCAGGGGAGACCTTGCCTTGGAGGAGGTGGGAGTGGGGGGTGGATTGGGGGGAGGGTAGGGAGGGGGGTGGTGGCGGGAGGAGGGAGGACAGAGGAATCCGTGGCTGATATGTAAAATTAAATTAATTATAAAATTAATTAAAACAAATTAATAAAACAAAACAAAACAAAAGGATTATTGAGTAAGATACAGGGTCCATGGCATAATATCCAGATTGTCCAAGTTTCAAAAGCTCTCTTACCAAGACAAAATGGCAGATTTCAAACGGAATGTTTAGACCTATCTCTCTCATTTTAAAGCAGCTGTCATACATGCTTCAAAGGTTATTGTTAACTTACTAAAACAAGTAACAGAAAACACTACAAAAAGGGAAGAAATCTTTGAAAAGAAATGTTAAGGTGTAATGAACACAGTGGAAATGTTTGTAATGCAAAATATGTCCTCACATTTCCATAACATAACATGTGTTCTAAACAGACCAATTAGAAGGTATATACAGCCTGGGTTCATAAACAAAGAAATAACAACAAACCACAGTACAACTAGACACACTGTTTTGAACAAACTTTAAAAACCAATACAAGTATGCTTAAAAAGCAAAAGACTGGTGGCGGGGGTGGAGTGTAAAGGGTGAATATGAGCAAAGCACAATAATATATTACGAAAATATCATAGTGAAACCCATTATTTTATATGATAAATTTAAAAAATTTAATTTTAAGAATGACAAAATAAAAGATTTGAAAATGACCTGTCACAGAAAACAGCCAAAAGAAAGCAATAGTGACTATATTTGTATCAACTAATGAAACCTCAAAGCAAAGAAAATGATCAGAACAGAGAGGATAATTGTGTAATGTTAAAAGGTCAACCCATCAAGACAGAGCAATCCTAAACAATCCAATATATACCAAAGAACAAAGCTGTAAAATACATGAAGAAAAAATGACAGGGCTTTGTACTGTGTGTGTTAATTGTATAGTACCTGGAGCTGTATGCACAACAAAAAAGCCCAGGCAATCGAGTGCCCATTTAATGAGTTTGTCATCATTCCCTATCTGGGAGTAATCTAATGTGACTCACACTCTACTCAGGTCTTAAAACATGTCATGTTACTAACATGCATGATAGGTTATTAGTCAGATCTTAGGGGACCAGGAATATGATATAGGTGTCCTCGCAATAGAGGCTAACTAGATACCAGACGTATAAATCCTGACACAGTGATCCCTCTCATCATTCCTGGCCTTGGATTATTTTCTG